TCCATTCAGCCAGTCTGTGTCTTTTGGTTGGAACATTTAATCCATTTACATTTAAGGTAGTTATCGATATGTATGTTCCTATTACCATTTTCATAATTGTTTGGTTTTTGTTATTGTAAGTCTTTTCCTTCTCTTGTGTTTCCTGCCTAGAGAAGTTCCTTTAGCGTTTGTTGTACAGCTGGTTTGGTGGTGTTGAATTCTCTTAGGTTTTGCTTATCTGTAAAGGTTTTAATTTCTCCATCGAATATGAATGAGATCCTTTCTGGGTAGAGTAATCTTTTTTGTACGTTTTCCCTTTCATTACTTTAAATATGTCCTGCCACTCCCTTCTAACTTGTAGAGTTTCTGCTAAAAGATCAGCTGTTAACCTTATGGGGATTCCCTTATATGTTATTTGTTGTTTGTCCCTTGCTGCTTTTAATATTTTTTCTTTGTGTTTAATTTTTGATAGTTTGATTAATATGTGTCTTGGCGTGTTTCTCCTTGGATTTATCCTGTATGGCACTCTCTGCTCTTCCTGGACTTGATTGACTGTTTCCTTTCCCATATTAGGGAAGTTTTCAACTATAATCTCTTCAAATATTTTCTCAGTCTCTTTCTTTTTCTCTTCTTCTTCTGGGACCCCTATAATTTGAATGTTGGTGTGTTTAATGTTGTCCCGGAGGTCTCTGAGACTGTACTCAATTCTTTTCATTCTTTTTTCTTTATTCTGCTCCCCGACAGTTATTTCCACCATTTTATCTTCCAGGTCACTTATCCGTTCTTCTATCTCAGTTATTCTGCTATTGATTCCTTCTAGAGAATTTTTAATTTCATCTATTGTATTGTTCATCATTGTTTGTTTGCTCTTTAGTTCTCCTAGGTCCTTGTTAAATGTTTCTTGTGTTTTCTCCATTCTATTTCCAAGATTTTGGATCATCTTTACTATCATTACTCTGAATTCTTTTTCAGGTAGACTGCCTATTTCCTCTTCATTTGTTTGGTCTGGTGAGTTTTTACCTTGCTCTTTCATCTGCTGTGTGTTTTTCTGTCTTCTCCTTTTGCTTATCTTACTGTGTTTGGGGTCTCCTTTTCACAGGCTGCAGATTCGTAGTTCCTGTTGTTTTTGGTATCTGCCCCCAGTGGCTAAGGTTGGTTCAGTGGGTTGTGTAGGCTTCCTGGTGGAGGGGAATAGTGCCTGTGTTCTGGTGGGTGAGGCTGGATCTCATCTTTCTGGTGGGCAGGACTGCGTCCCGTGGTGTGTTTTTGGGTGCCTGTGACCTTATTATGATTTTAAGCAGCCTCTCTGCTAATGGTTGGGGCTATGTTCCTGTCTTGCTAGTTGTTTGGCATAGGGTGTCCAGCACTGTAGCTTGCTGGTCGTTGAGTGGAGCTGGGTCTTAGCGTTGAGATGGAGATCTCTGGGAGAGCTTTCACCGTTCGATATTATGTGGAGGCAGGAGGTCTCTGGTGGACCAATGTCCTCACCTCGGCTCTCCCACCTCCGAGGCACAGGCCTGACACCTGGCCGGAGCACCACTGCCCTGTCAGCCACACGGCCAGGTACGTGGGGAGTTTCTTGGGAAGCTTTCGGGAAGTCTGAAGTCTTCTGCCAGCATTCAGTAGGTGTTCTGCAGGAGTTGTTCCACACGTAGATGTATTTCTGGTGTATCTGTGGGGAGGAAGCTGATCTGCATGTCTTATTCCTCTGCCATTCTGAAGGTCCCTCACCACTTTTCCTTTATATGCTCTTCTGTAATGATCACTGCTATCAGCCAGACTGATACTATGAAGGTACTGTGATGGACTGGTATTCGTGATTGAGGATAGGATCATAACCTCAAGACCCAGGAGAAGAGTTGGTGAAATCTGTGTCCTGTTTTTTTCCTCTGAGCGACAGAACAGGACAGACTCAGGCACTTCCGTAGGATGCTCTGTTACTTGAGCAAGGACTGAACTAAGTTTTCAAAGTATTGTTAAACAGTCTTTAAAAATCAGCTTTATTTGTTAAAGTGATTGAATAATGAACTTCCAAGAGAAATGGACGTTAGATTTCATTAATTCAGCACCCTCTTTAACTAAGGAGGAAGTTTATGCCTAGAGAGGTCCAGTGATCTCCTGGGTTCCTGCCAGTGACCGGAAGATGACTGGACTCAGCTTTCAGATTGGAGTCCAGAGAATGTTCATAATTCTATGAAATCAAAACAAACACTGAAGGCAAACATCAGAGACAAGATGTTGCATAAAGAAAACTTACACTTGGGATGGTACATATACACTTTTTTCTTGGTTATAGGAATTTGGGGATGGGGCTGAGGGAAAATATGAAAGAGAAGGGAAATTACAGGGTGGGTGAATGCGGGGACCACTTCTCTTTCTGGGGCAGGTAGTCCCTCAACCATTGCATGTTGTGTTTGACTTTGCTAAAGTATCCTTGGGGAGAAATTTGCCTACGAATCCTTGTAGTCTAAGAAAAGGCATTAGCAAATATAAAATAAAGCACAAAGTCTTATTTTTTGAAAAGTTTAACTTTTGAGCTGAAAGATAATGAAATTTCCATTTCTGCTGGGAATATGAATCTTTGTAAATGGACAGCCCAAGGAGAGGAGAGGGGAACTTACAGGAGGTTCTGCCATTCTGGGGGCCTCTGTGACCTTTGCAGGGAGCTGTCAACTGTTTCAAGCAGGAGTCAAAATCATCACTTTCTTGTCAATGACATATCATCTCTCTCAACTGGAAAGGTATTTAACCCATCCATTCAATTTCTTCTCATCTTCATCTTTCTCTGCAGCTCCATTAGCTGCTGTGTCATGTTCTCTGGGGCCCAGCCATGCGGATTTACCACTTTGATTAAAGCCAGGCCATAGCTGTTGGCTCCTCTATCAACCTTATACCTTTCCTACTATAAATGTTTCCCTCAATTACCTATAAATAGGATTTGTTGCAGTGAAAAATTATTTTCAACTTTGTAGGATCAAATATATATATACATACATACATACCTCTATAATCATTCGTAGATAGGCATTTTATGAAACCAATTCATAGAGTTTGAAAACCGTAGTTTAGGTAGCCAGCATTGAGTCCCAAAATAGTATTTAAAGACATAATTTGACTTGTAGCATCTAGTGGAGTGATGTTAAAACTGTTTGAAAGCGCTGGATCCCTTCAGTTGTATATCAATACATAAAACAAGGAAGAGAGGACTGATCTGGTTGAAGTGAGTGAGGACAGGTTAGCCTCTAATCTTATCAATTGTCCATCTTCTATTCTGATTCCCATATTACCCTGGTGTCTCCTTGACTACCAGATGTCAAAGTAAAATGGTTTCTAATAATTAGACTTGTCATTGTTGGTCACAGATATTGAAGGCAGTTTTCAGTAGTTCATTTGTCAGGGTTGAATGTCTCCATATGTACCTGTTCCATTTCTTATTGTGCAGCTGGTCAGAAATGTGACTGGATTTGATTTATGGGTTTATAGTAGGAGAAGTGTTATCAGTTTCTTCTAAGACACGTGTTTATGACCAGAGGGAATTTTGACTCTAATTCCCACTTATTATACCAAAGTGGGTATGTTTATTTTACCTTGCCTTGTACTTAGCATAAGAGTATATTTATTTAACATTGCATTGTTTTATTATGTATCTTTGGCCAAAACAAGAGGCGATTATACTTTGATCTTTGTTGGATCGGAGGCAGTTGTCAAATGTGTAGGAGATTTTATATTTCAAAATAGTGAACAATGGGGTCTATGTTTGCTCTGTTTCTGGGAAGTTGGAATAATAGAATTTTCACTGTTCTAACTTTAACCAATGTAAGTGCTTCAGTTGGATCTCATTTGGGACATTATTTTAAAGACTTTATATCATATACTGGTCTCTTCCGAAACAAAAAAATATGAGATAAAAATTAATGAGGACCCAATTTGTCTCATAAAAACTAATTCACTGAGATCTACAAAAAGTCTTGATATAATGAGGCCCTTCATTCTTTTATTAGTTAGGGTAGTGCCAGCTGCTCCAACAAGCAAACCACAAATTTTCAATGGCTTTAAACAATCGAAAGTTTAGTTTTTAGATCATGTTACAGTTGGTGTCCCTGGCTGAGCGGTAGACTTTCTTCCTCATGTTGATTCTGTGGCCCAGATTCCTTCCACATTGTGGAAGGATCCTTTCTATAGATCCTTTCTATAGATCCTCTATACAACTAGAGAAAGGGTTGGGGGCAGACAAGGCAACCCACTTCTTAACCACCTTGGCCTAAAACTGCCACATCAGTTGACACATAAGGATGAGTCACACTCCCACCTAGATACCAGAGAGTCTGGAAAATGTGGTCTATCTGGGTAGCTTCTTCTCAGGAATGACTGATACTTTGGAAAGAGGAGTACAAAACTGTGGTGAGTACTTCATTCTCTCAGCCATGCATATCTGAATCTCAGGAACTCAGTTATAAAAAAAAAAAAAAAAGGTTCACTGAGATATTGCATCACCTTAGAGTACTTTAGACAAAATCCTGAGGGAAATAACATTTTAAAAAGTATACTATAAAAATAATATAACAAAAATAAGAGCTGGGGCTTCCCTGATGGCGCAGTGGTTCAGAGTCCGCCTGCCGATGCAGGGGACACGGGTTCGTGTCCCGGTGTGGGAAGATCCCACGTGCCGCGGAGCGGCTGGGCCCGTGAGCCATGGCCACTGAGCCTGCAAGTCTGGAGCCTGTGCTCCGCAACGGGAGAGGCCACAACAGTGAGAGGCCTGCGTACTAAAAAAAAAAAAAAAAAAAAAAAAAAAAAATAAGAGCTGAACATTAGTATGAAATGTAATTTATTGTTATTAAAATATTTTGTTTTCTTAGTTATTTACTTGCTAACATTTTATCAAAAACCAATTTTGTTTCTATGTTTGTGCACTCAAACTTGCCTACTAATTTCTTTACGTTCATCCATGATAAATATGGATAACTGTAATATATCTGGACGACACACTCTAAATCTTGAGAAAATGAGAACAAATGAGATGCAGACAATGCAGATTTTTTGTTGGTATGAAATTCAAGCAAATGAAAATTTACCCCCAAGCTCCATTTTGCTGAATAATTTTATTTAGGCAGGAATTTATTCTGCTAGTTGGATAAAAAAATAAAGTATTATTAGGGCTAAAAACGCTTAGACTCATGCTTCTGATTGCTTATGACCCTATGTTTCTGAATTATAAGTTTCCATTTCAGTTCATTTTTCTGCGTGGTTTTGCTGCACTTTTCTGTCTCCTTCATGCATCTGTGTATGTTTTTTCCATGAGCCTCCTTCAGGCTGCAGTCTTTTAATCTGTGTCTGTTCATTTCTTACATCTCCCTACAGGTCCCTCTGTCTTCTCTTTTTGTTTATGGAGTTCTTCATCTGTGGACAATGGAGAATGGTGAGATTTAGATTAGAGGTCAGTGGTATTGAAATTTAAAGCGTCTCAGTGAAAACACCTGTAGTCTTGCCGTGGTACAATAAGAAGCCGAGGGCAGGTGTTTAGTGCTTGAAATCAGTGGGATCACTGTGTACCTTTATGTGACAATCTGCTCGTCACATCACTGTGTTCAGCCTTGGCCCAGAAGTTGTCATTAAGTTAGAACATGAAGCATGGACCTTTAAGAATGTTTCTAAATAGGTTTATTGAATGTACTCTTCCTCTTGCTACATTTTCTTCTTTCAGTGACAACCCACACCTTCCCCCCCAACTTGCCATGTCTCCTCAAGTGCATTTCTCTTATACTGTTATTCACAGTCCAGTTCCCACTCACAATGTGCAACTAGAGATACAGTGATAGCACTAAATGACAAGGGGGCAATATCACCGATAACATACAAGACAGTTCATAGGGTTCCAGTCATCTGTAATCTAATTGTTTCAAGTCTGGAAAACAATCAAGGACCCTTATTTGTAATTCAGTCCCTGCTAGAAATGTCAGAAATCACATAGCCAGATAGTACAGTTTCATGCTTGCCGGGGGGCAGGGGGGTGTCTCTGGAAAGTTTGAGATGAGCAAGAATCAGGGAAATTATGTAAAAATGTATGGAAGAAAAAAATCACGTGAGTGAAAAATATAGATAGATTTTCTTTGAGATATACTAGTATTGATCTTTTGGATTGTAACACATGACTGAAGTTTGAGGAGTACAGTAAAATGAACAGCAGTGGTAATAAAGTAAACGGAATAATCCTGTAAAAATAAATTGGTAGATCAAAAAGAGAGAAGTAAGAGGTACTTGAGTCACTTCTGGGTCAGATCTAGAGAAAAGCTTTCAAGGTCTCTACAGGGTCATTATAAAGAAAATGTTTTGGTTTTTTTTAACATCTTTATTGGAGTATAATTGCTTTACAATGGTGTGTTAGTTTCTGCTTTATAACAAAGTGAATCAGTTATACATATACATATGTTCCCATATCTCTTCCCTCTTGCGTCTCCCTCACTCCCACCCTCCCTATCCCACCCCTCCAGGAGGTCACAAAGCACCCCCACACACAAAAAGACAATGTGAAATAGGTATGATCCTAAAATAAATACTCAGAATCAAGACATACTCATTTATAATTTTAAATACTTTATGTTGAGATGAATCATGGCTTTGTTTCAATTATATATAAACAGTTTACTAAAAAATTTTAAAGTTCTTTGAAAGACCCTGTTTTCTTTTTTATTTGCATCTCACATATTAAGAAGTTCGTCATTTTCTTGCCCTTCTTAATTCCTCTTTTCTCCCCTCCCTCTTTTTTCCTGAATGCAAAATACATGTGTTAAAACATTAATGATTTTTAAATAGAAAATGTGAAGTATCAGGCACTTCTCTTAGAAGATTCCAGAACACACAAGAGAAGGTTTTAGCAGAACTGGCATCATGCCCAGTCCCACAGCTCAAAGACAATTTTAGATGCCCCAGGATCAGTGGTTTCTGTGGTCTCCAGTGGATGTATCCACACCGGGGAATGTATGAAACTTATTTTGATTCACATAAACCTCAGAAGATTTTGCGCCAGTTATAAAACAATTTTAGGAATGTCCTAAATACAAGTGACTACAGAATTACTCGGATGGCCTGAATATCAGAAATGCTTGTGACCTTCATGTGTCCTCAACTCTCTGAAGCTAGGTCTACTCATTCTGTTTTCATGGCAGGAGTCTTTTTAGCCAACATAAAGCACTGGAAACAATGATCATTGCTGATGCTCTACCATGGAGTTGCAAAGTATATTAAAAATGCATCCCATGCTCCATCATTTGCAAGATTATTTGTGATGACTATTAAGTGCATAGTAAAAGGTACTTGGCTTCAAATGTGTCACATTGTAACCATCAGCCTTCTGATATTTGTATCATGTGTATAAAATAGAGGACATGTTTGTCAGCATGTGAGGATCCTAGGAATTTTGTACCTAGAGTTAAAGTAGGCACAAAACAGCCATGATATCAGGGACAAGATATTTCAGCAATGTGGGACTTAGCGATGGAGGATCTGAATTCAAGACCCAGCTTTCTCACTTACTACTTTTGTGACCTTGGCCAGTCACTTAACCTCTCTGAGCCTTGGTTCCATTGTTTGAAGATGGTGGTATTACCTCCTATTTCAGTGGGTTGTTATGGATTTTGTCATTTGTTCATATTCTATGTTATTCCACAAAGGATTTGAAATGAAATGTGTATATTTGGAGATAAAGTGTGCTTGCCAGTGCTTTGTAGATTATACAAATATAAGCTACCTGCCATTACTATTGGGGCCATTTAAATTCCTGGGGAGCTCTATCCTTAGAATGAGAGTGCTTCTAAGCAGATGTTCCAGAGACTTCCATTTAATAATTTCCAATAAACAAATATATATCTATGTGTTACATAGACGGGTTACAGATGCCAATTTAAAATAAACCTGCAAGGAAAGAAGACCATCCAAGACCTTTTGATTGAAAACCATTTGCAATTAATAAAAATATCAGATTCTCACTTACTTAGTGCTTATTTCTCATGAATACATAATTGAAAAGACTATAATGACAAAAAGCTCTTAAGCATTAAGTAACTTTTCCCAATACATTCGTATCTTGTTAATCATAAAAAAATATATACACAACATTTGAGAAAGATTACAACTCATAGGTGTGAGTCACTTTTATTCAGCTTAGAGACAATGCTTTTGTTGCACTTAGAATTGGTGGACACCTCGCAGTTACACAGGGGCTTTGAAATGTCAGTGGCCTACCAGTTCCTGTGATTCCTTTTATTATCATGTGCCATTTGCCTTAATCTTGGATTACTAACTGTGTTTATCTGCCCTCTGCATCTAAAGCCTCCAGAAAGATGGCTCTGGCTTGCCCTAATAGCTCTTATCAGCTCACCCAGTGGCCCTTAAGCTTTGCTGCTTGAAATCCAGGAGTTACCCACACAGTACCAAGCCCTTCTGAACAAGTCAACTGATTTCCTCTGTGTAAATGATTGCTATTTATGCCAAGGCAGCCACAAACCCTTCTCCTTCCCTTTGTTAAGGTGAAATGGAACCTTAAGGACAGAAGCTACTGGCTGTCTGGCCACATCCTCTTCAGTTCCCATGGCTTAACTTTACCTAGGGTGGAATTACTGGGTTTGCTGTGAATTGCGGCAAGGTTAGACCCCTTTTCTCTTTTATCCTATATTTTAAGCTCCTTTGATTTTTTTTTTCCTCTAGTATCTATATACTAGGCTGATCTATCTATAGGCTATCTATAGGCTATATTTATAGGCTATCTATACTTGGCTGATAGTAAAACTGTTAATAATCTGTTTCATTTTGTCTGATAAGTATGCTTCCTTTTCCTCCTTTTCTATAACAGTTGTCTAGGGAAGTTTATTCAGTGTGCCTCTGTGGTTTTTTAAATTCAAAATAAACTAGTATTTCCAAAATATTGAAACTTTTGAAAACATTCACTTGACATTATAGTTCGTATCACACAGAAAAATTATGAAAATCATGGAATAAGTCTTTCCCCCTCCTTCGTACTACACAAAACTGTATTTTCAGTGAATACATGAGGAATACAGCCTGGATAAGAGCTTTCCAATAAACATTATATTCAATAATTATAATTTCTCTGAAAAGTGATAGTTAAGGGTTTGAGGACCCACATGCACGAGAGAGAATACACTTCAGTGGTTTAAATGCTTTGACTTCAGGGTAGCTGGATCCGCAGCTGAATTCTGGGTTTCCACTTACCAGCTGTGTATCCTTGAACAGTTCTTTAAACTCTCTAAGACTTCATTTCCTCGTATATAAAATGGTAATTGTGCTCCTAACTCACAGGATTTTCCAAGGACAAAATGAGGCAAATATGTAAAGTAGCTAATAAAAGGGTGGGTAGCAGCAGCATCTGCTGTTTTTTGTTATTGACAAGCTGAGGAAGAACAAAAGGAGAACTAACCTGGAAGTTTCAAATGTTTTAAAGGTCCCTTCTGCTAAAGTCAGTTTAGAAATCCTCCCTCAGAAAGACCGCAATCTCCGGGCAGGAAACACAGGCTGCCTTGAAAGATCTGGGCTGGGAGGCTAGATTCTATGCTGGCAGGGCCACAGTCAAATTTCAGAGTGACTCCTCTGTGCTCTGTGACAGCATCATGTGACATGACAGTACTACCTGTCCCGGACAGATTAGGTGACTTCACCGCACTGAACAGTAAATCACCTCACTTTTTATTAGCAGAGCCTTTGCATTTCTTAATCCTACTCTTGGGAGGAGATCTCTAGAGAGTGTCTTCCTCCCTCTCTTTCTCTCTGCTTCTCTCCTCCATAGAAAGAACTCAAAACCCCATTTGGCATGTTATAAGAGCTGAAGGATTCGAGTTTCAAATATTGATAATACAGTGAGTGGTTGAAAAGCTGCCTTTATCTTTAATATGCCTTATGCCACTTACCCCTCTGTATTTAATTGGCCCAGTGATCTCCTTTGCTTACATTCAGCGTTTATCAATCACAAGCAGCAATGCGTGGTACGGCATGAACAGAAAGTTCCACGGGACCCTCTTCACACTGGGGAAGGGGAACATCTGCTCCTTTTCTAGCAGGATGCCAGGATTTTAGAGGTCAATGTGTTTCCCCATCAAGGCTTAAGGCTTTGGGGACCAGGGGAAGTGTCGAGCTCCAAGCAGCATAATGAATGGCATTTGCTGGCTGGCTGGGTTTGCCTGTTCTCAACAGGGGATAGAGAATTCGGCGTAATGAGCTGGGACTTAGTGTGCTCAACACACCCAGCTTGGGGAGTGAGGCAGGCTGTGCCTTTTTTGTTCCTGGTTCGGACCTGTATTTTCATCTTGGAAGAAATTATAGGGAGGTCTTCACTAGTGGTACCCAGCAGGGTTAAGGCTCCATGAAGGCTGATAAGCTCTATGGCTAAAAAAAAAAAAAAAAAAAAACCCACAAAACCCATCCGCCTTCGTGCAGGGAGCCGAAGGTTTAAGTTGCTTGAACTGGAAACAGTCTGAAGAGGTGATTATGTTAAGCAAGTAATGTGTATCGGTAACATGGAGTCAAATTATGAGGGTCAGTAACTTCCTGGCTTTCCCAGTGCGTTAAATGAAGACATAACGTTGTGTTTGCGCCGGCTGCTTCCTGATGCCGCGTGGTGTCAGCACCGTCCGGTTCTATGTACTTCACAGCACGTCACCTCTAACTTCATGGGATTATCTGTGCTCTTGCTTCGATAGATACTCATGATCTTGAGCTCCCTTTGAACTCACAGCAGGGCAGTGCAAAGGCGTTATTGGGAACACTTCTGGGCTTTTTGTGTTATGTACAAAGTTATTATTACTGTCATTTAGAAAGGTAGATATATGTTGCTGGCATGCTTCCAAAAGTGTACACGTATTTGATGGCAAGGGGAATTACTGAAGGGGAAGACACTGAATGCGAAAGATCTTTTGGGAAACTAGTATTAGAAAGGTGTCAAGGCAAGTGAATCAGGATTTGAAAGGCATTTATATATAGGACAGTGCATCTCAAAGCGTGGTCCCCTGGCCAGCAGCATCAGAATTACCCAGGAACTTGCGAAAGATGCAAATCCGCCTGAATCAGAAACTCCTGAGCTGGGCTCAGCAATCAGTCTCTGTTTTAACAAGCCTTCCGGGTGATACGTGCTCAAGTGTGTGAAACCCTGCCGTAGGATTTATGGAGCACAAGGATCGGACAGACCCACATGTTCTGGGGTAGAGCAGTAGACAAGACAAATGTACCTCCCCTGATGGACTTTATTAAATTACAAAGGAATATGTGGTACTTCACCCTGATGAAATGTTTAGACATACCCAACAGAGCCTGTAGTTAGCCATATACCATGTTGTTCTTTGTTTGAATGAGCCTGTTATCTTCTTTGCTTGCAGAGAAATGACTAACAAAAGATGACTGATCAGTGATTCCTTTGTGCATTTCAGAACCATCCCCCTTGCGATATGTATATCCATGGCCGTCGTCACCATTGGCTACGTGCTAACAAATGTGGCCTACTTTACGGCCATTAGTGCCGAGGAGCTGTTGCTTTCAGAGGCCGTGGCAGTGGTAAGTCTAAGTTGGGAAAATGCCAGTTTGAATTTAGGTTAATGAAATGATGCAATTTTATAGTAGTTCCCTCCAGCAGAAAGTGTTTTGAAATCCAGTAATTCTTTTTTAACTGAATGATGATGAATATTTTAAAAATTTAGAACATACCTTAGCATATTCCATTTAACTGATACAGCTACACTCCTATATGATTTCTCTGTACTGTTAATTTCATGTAAAACATTTCCACATATGCCTGCTTGAAAACATATTTCCACACATACATGTTGAATAGAAGTCATTATTCTTCCAACATGTCTTTAAAGACAGGTGGGCAGTTACTGAGTTTAAATGAATGCATTTTGGGGTATGCAAATGGCAATTGATTCTGTACTCCTCCCTGTTTAGACGCTTTTCAAATGCTAACTTAAAATCTTTTTCCCAAAGTACCACTTTAGAATTTCCAAATGGACCACATAACATTTTTTTCCTAGTATATATATATCATTTTGAATACAAGTTCTAGGATATTATTAATTTGAGGAAATGCTGAGTTATTCAAAGTTAAACAGATGTCATTGCTATAGTACTTCTCAGAATATTAGAGAAGCTAATGTGCATTTTAACTCCCTGAGATGCGGATACTGATAATTTTACAGCATTTTCCAAAATTTATTTGACTTCAGGGGCATCTTTTGCTTTCAAAGTTCATGTTATGGGACTGCTATTCTGTGACACAGACTTTTTGGTATAAAAACTTAGCTAGTAAGAGGGCACTCATTCATGACCTTATAACAATGAAGGGTGAAAAAAAAAAAGAACTTCCCATCACTAGATGTCAGTTCCTTTTAAAATAGTCACTATTAGGTCATATCAGAAACATCCACAGGGAACAAATTATCTCATTTCATGTGAACCTATGTACGAGTTCACTGTATTAAAAAAGACTCTGTCCACTGCGGTAACTTCTACCAGACAACCAAATGCACAGAGCTTCCTGATGTCAGGTCGTCATCTCATCTTACTAGACAAAGGGCAGCACTTAAGTCTTTGAGCGTAATGTGGTCCATTAATTACATAGCACCGGCTGTATCAAGGACAAGTAAAGAATCCCACTTTTTTTTTTTCTTGGAAAATACATCCTTCATGAAAATTTGCAATGTTGCACATGCCATGCAACAAAAGGAAAGGTCAGAAGTTTTGTTTAACTTTTATATTTTCTGTAGCTTGATTTCCTTGGACTTGTGTTGGTGTTCTAGCCTTTTAATAGGAAACTACAGAAGGAATTGGCAGATAACTGAGAGGGCGGGATGGACTTCATAAACAGAGATTCAGCTGATGTGATTATTCTGGGCAAAAGATTTTCAGAACTGTTCGTATCCATAATATACATGATTAAGTCCTCAATTATTTTTTGCCACGCTTTTAAGTCATAACAGTGGGATTGGTATATGAAACAGGTATCTGCAACACTTCTCAGTGTACCTTTGTACTTCGCTATAAAAATGTGGCTTTCCAGATGAGAGAGAAGGTATTCTACAGAAGGATTTCTGTCTCTAAAAGGAGAACTTCTGTACTGAGTTTTTTTAATTTACCAGAGTCAGAGACAATAGATATCATAGTTGATAAAGATTTGATCAATGGATCATCGCTCTTTGGAAGTAGAGGGAAGGTGCTTGTTTAGACTATTGCCCATAATTCTGCAACAAGCAGGGACATGGTACCTGCCTTTGATTATTATTCTAAGAGGTTAGTCTGACCCTAACCCAAAAAAAGGATTATAAAACACACACAGATCACCAGGTAAACAGAAAGTCATAGAGCGAGTTTGGCCTAAATTGTTTCATTTTATTCCGCTTTCTGCCAGAGCTTTAATTTGCTTCCTTCTGTCTTTCACTAGACTTTTTCTGAGCGGCTCCTGGGAAATTTCTCAGTAGCAGTTCCAATCTTTGTTGCCCTCTCCTGCTTTGGTTCCATGAATGGTGGTGTGTTTGCTGTCTCCAGGTGAGTGAGTTCAAGCATTTCTAGAAATGCATTTCTGTGTCTGAGATGGGATGTGATAAGGATAACTTTAAAAAGAAAAGAAATAGTGCCTCTAAACCTGCTGTTTTTAAAGGGAAACGCAAGATTGAAATCTTTCTCCAAGTATCAACAGCGTGTTCTATTCTGTCCATTAGAGGGCACTGTTTGTCTACTCATAGCCTACTCTGAAGCCAGGGATGAAGGGTTTTTTTGTTGTTGTTTTAACGTTATGTCTACAGAGTTTAACAACAACATTTTATTTCTGGCAATAAAATCTTTTGTTTCTCTAAAGGTGACAAGCAAAAAAGTAAAGTAAGAGACACCAGACATCACCATACCACCATCTGTATCCCTTTTGTTTGATGCAGAAGTCCCTTTTGTTTTAATTTGATGAAAACCCAATCAGATAAATGTAAATGGTGTGTGTGTGTGTGTGTGTGTGTGTGTGTGTGTGTGTGTGTGTGTG